ATCCTATCCACCTTATTGGGCTCTAAAGGAGAAAACACGGGTCTATAATTTTGGCAGCTAATCCAAACATTGTGGTTGTCAGGATTCTAGCCCTTCACCAGTTTAGAACCAGAAAAGGTTGGCAGGGAGCTTGGAGCACCACAGCATCCAAACAGCTCTTCCTCCAAATCTTGAAGTTGAAGGGGGTTCACTGTCCAGTTGTGAGGATGATCCCCTGCCCCTTCTGTAGTTTTGGCTTTGGGAGGGATGCTGGGGTTCTTCATGCTCATCAGAGGGTAACTCTGGGGTTGGCATACTGAGTTAAGACATACGAAAAATCTCACCTATAAAATGAAGGCCTTTTCTATTGTTATTGCTAGTCATTGTAACCAGACAATCATCTTTCTAGAATGCAAGAGTTCAAAAGAACTATTGAGGGGAATTCCCTTTGTTCTTCTTTTTTGCATCTGATTTACAAGATAAAAGTTGTCTTTCTAAGGCAGAGGGAGATTATCTCTCCATGCACTCAAGTATAACTTTACTTTGAGAGCAGGGTTGTTTTGAGCCAGCTGATAAAAACCAAACCAGACAGCTACATGAGGAGTGGGGTTTTCTGGGTTGAAGGTTTAAGTGGTCCTTTGATTTCTCTGTTACAGCAGCTATAAATATTCATATATTACAGTTTAGGTGGCTAAACTGGGATACATGATCACTTCCAAGGGCCAGGGTGTCAACAAATAGCCAGAGATGAAAGCCAGAGAAGAGTAGTGATGCTGCTCTGTAGTCTGTAGCAGCAAAAATACAAAGAGTGTTCTGCCTTGCTGTCTCATAATGCAGCAGCTGAAACAGGCTACGATCTACAGTAAAACGACTTTAGTTTTACCTGTCTGGCTTTTGTGTTCTTTTGAGCTCAGACATAATCCAATATCCTTCAGTCTTGCTGAATTCAGTGAGATAAACACACCACTAAAAGTTTATATGCCAACATGTTCTGGCTTAACTTTGTGGCTGCTTATTTGATGTGTTCAGTATACTTGTATCAGTAATGAATCAGTGATGGGATACCTGTGTCCTTCCAGGTATTGTTGGAGTTCAATTCCCATCAGCCCCAGCCATCCTGGTCAGGGATGATGGGTGTTTTGGTACAACACTATCTGGAGGAGCACAGGTTCCCCATTTCTGATTTACATCCTGTATTCCTCATCATGAAACTCAAGGCAGCATAAGTAATGTTCCCTGGCAGTCTCCCATCCAGGCACTGATCACACCATGACCCACTTAGCTTTAGCAAGAGACTGCATCACTTTCCTTAAGATCATGCACCTGAACAAAACTGTTCTTTATTACATTTGATAATGCCCTTCACCAGAATAGCTCAGGTCAATGGACGTGGTCCTCCTCTGGTCTCATTTTATCATCACAACATCCCTGTGAAGTAGGTTAGGCTGAAAGAACGATGGAATAGCTGGCTCATACAGAGCGGAGAGTTGAATTCGTATCTTATTTGGTCCTAGTTTGGCACTGAAACCACAGTGGCTTCTTTTGTGAAATGAAAGCCAGGAAAGTGCTATTTGCAGTGGAGAAGCTATAAACAAGAAGAGGACATTTATCCTTCCACTTGCTTCTGCATCTTCCCCCTAGCTCAGATCTAAACTTGTGTTACTTTTAAAGGAGCCACAAGTCTTTTATGAGAATGTTTGGGATATAAGAAAAGTATACCCCTCTTTTATCAAAGATTGGGTATCATGCCCTAGAAGGAACAATAAAGAACAGTCCTATTAGTTATATAGCAGATGTTTTTCTGCAAGATATATCCACTAGCTCCATCAACTGATTGACTTGTTTGTACTTTGCAGGAAACAATGCTTGATTTCTTTATGTGCACTTACAAGATATCAAAAGATATCACACGATTTGTCAGCTACAAGAAATACTACATTTCACAAGAATATTCAGAAACATGTGTTAAGAGATGGTGGATTAAAACATGGGGGCATGAATGAGAGTTGTGTAGGTGGACCCTACATGCCACACATATATTTAGAGTTAAAGATATACTACTAAAATAAATTTTCCCACACATTGACTTTGAAAGCAGCTGCCCATGTATCCTCTAAGCTTATAAAAGCATGGACAACTTTAAAGGTTAAATTAAATTATAGCCCAACAGTTAGCATAATGAATTATAAACACTCCCTGTCATGATATAGGCCTATAATTGCCATGGTTTCTCAGGTCTGGCCAGCTTCCATTTTACAAAAAAGTGGAAACTCTACTGTAGAAGTTAACAATGCTAGCAAAGCACTTAGTCCGACCAGTTTGAACGCAGTATGTTCCATTCCTTTGTCTGAATCCTGTTGTCACCTACAGGGATTCAGGTTGTGGATTGTCCTCTGCCTGGCCTCATGTTTTTGCAATGTACCGTAAGTACTAATTAAAGCTGCTGCTAGGCAGAACTCATTTGTCCTGCTCTAGTGCATGATGTCCTGCATGCCTTCCTCTGTCTAACTGGCTACAGGCCTTTCCTTTGCCTATTTCAACTGTACATTTCAGAAGAGTATTTTATCAAAATTTTGTACAAGCGTCCCCCCTGCCCCCCACTTACTTACACATGATCATATATATGTGTGACCATATATATGCACGGGGCTGGGTTCTTACTGAAGAAGGTTTAACAACAACAATGCAGCTATAAAACCCCCCCAAAAGATAAAAGGCCTGTTAAAATAAGCATGTTTTACTAGCCTCCTAAAAGAAGAAAGAGATGAAGCCTGGAGATCCTCAGTGGGCAGAAAATTCCACCAGGAGAAGACAGAAGAATAAGAAAGAAAACAGGGGAGATTTAGAATTTCTTCCTATCCTGACAACCTTTCCCTGTTAAAGGGTGGCATCTGGGAGATGTGCAGATCTATCTGGCAGCTGGTAGTTTTCCAACCTTCTTATGCATTCACTTTTGTAATGAACAAAGGCCTTGGGATCTAGATTTGGAAAACAGACTTTAATTCCTAGAACTCTGTACCTACACCTATGTCTCAGGGGTGATGTAGCCCGTTTTGCCACTTGAGGCAAAAGGGGGAAGCGCTGCCCTGCTCCACTGCCTCTGGTTTCTGGCCAAATATCACCAATTTCCGGGTTCACTCTACCTCTTAGGGGGGCCGGACCTGGTATGTCTAGTCTCTTTTACCATTCCGTGACAGATGTTGAAATTAATTAATAACTCCCACAACCAGGTGGGTAAACCCACAACCAGGTGGGTAAACCCAACACAGTAAATAAAGAAAAGCTGAAACTATTTTTGTCTGTTTTACATCCTTTTAAAATAAACAAAACAAATCTAAATTAAAGGGGGCTTTCAGATGCTATTCATTTGAGTGGCATGTATGCCTGTGCATACAAAAATACAAATAAACTGGTAAGCTCAGCTGTTATTAAGGTAATCCCCATTAACCTAGCAATCAGGCATTAAATTAATTTTCCACATCCAGATCTGCTAGTCTGCTGCAGGGGGAAATGTATCTTGTAAGGGCCATGTTTGATGCTAATACAGTTAATATGGAGAAATCTTCATTCTATCTACAACTAATGAGATAGCACAAGTAAGCTGAGCAGCTGGAAACGAAAGAGCTCCACTGGGGATATCTTAGCAATAAGCCATTTTACTGTGACATTCAAGTCCAGTGTTGGATTGGCTCAGTCTTGGGACATTCAGCTTTATACAGTTTCAAAGGGATATAAATCCAGTCTCTAGAATATTCTTCCATGAATCATGTTTAAGAGCAACTTAAAAATGTTTTAATTATTGTTAGGGCTGAGTGGAAATGCCTCTCCAACAAATTTGCCAGCCCTGTTCACAAATTATGTGAACTGGAATATCAATTTTGGCAGTTTTTGGTGTTGGGATTAAGTATTACAAATTATTTTGCAGGGGGTGCTGTTTCCTTTCCCCTCCCCTCATCTTTTTAACAGTAATGCTGAATATGCTGTCTACTGCTACCCCCCTCCACCCTTTACGTTTGGAAGTCTAGCAAAAGTGCCACTTGCCACTACTGTGATGTGGCCAGTTGCCACCATTTTTCTCTCAAATGCCTTACGGAGTAAGCCAGCGTAACACCACTAGCATCATCATTAGCGGGGTTGAGATGGGGAGAATATGGTGGCAGACAGAGTAAGGGGTGCTTTTTCTACGCTTTAAAAATCTGTTGACATCGCAAGTGAAAATCAATCCAGACACAAAAGTAGTTGAGCCAAAATCTACACTTCTGACAGGGGTTGCCACATGTCCTGATTTTCCCAGACATTTAAGCTGTTTCCGCCCAGGCACTTTTTCTGATGGCCAAATCCCGGCTATGTTCAGGAAATTCCAGCCGTATGGCAACCCTATCATAGGTTGACTTTGGGTATTGGGAAGGATAGAGCTGACTTTGAATAATAAGCAAGTTATCTCTTGGTGTGGCTTGGGAAAAAAGTTTGCTTTTTAGTCTCCAGGTCTTATGGACTGGCATGAGGTCAGAAAAATGCGTTCCCACAGTTTGACTGAAGATTCTGGGGCAGGGTGAGAACCTGCATGGCCTTCTTCAATTGGTTCAGCCATATGGCTTTGTTTTCAGTCAATGTCCCTACACTGCACACACCATTTATTTATTTATTTATTGCATTCTGAGGTCACACAGTGCAGGGGAAACATGGTAGATAAAATCTCACCTCTGCCACAAACTCACCAGGTGGTCTTCAACAAGCTACTGTCTTTCAGTTTTATTCCATTACCAATTAACCATCAAAATAACTGTCCAGATGTGCTGTCATAGAAAATGTGCCTAATTTCCACTCCACTTAAATATCTTAATTCAAGTATCCTCAGAAGATCCCACTCAAAATCACAACAGCCAAATTCTACTTCCTTGCAATATATTTGCAGGCTATTCAAAAGGCACAAGTTTTCCTTTGTGCTGGTGGTGGAACACAGTTCATAAGAGTGTGAAAATACAGAATGTAAAAATAAAGAATGGCAGGTGCAGGCCTACCTGTCTGCATCGCCCAGGCCCAGCGAGGTGTTGCGTTGCAGAGTTTCCCGTACAGCAGCCATCCCATCCGGAAGTCTGTTTAGCCTTCGAGTGTAAAGGCCCAATCCACCATCTGTCATGTACCTTTGAAAACACCAGAAATACATTTGTGTTGCAGGTTTACCAGATCAGTCAACCTAGCTAGCTAGCTATTCATTTTTATATTATCCTTCACCAAAAAAGTCAAAGGGTAACAATATGATAGAAAAATGCAGGCACATCATATAATCACTAAATTCAACACCGAGAGATGTAAAGTTGGATCACATTTACTTGAAACTAAATTTTGCCAAGGAATAAAACACAAGAGCTTTTTACACGTTACATTACCATGAATTCTGTTAAAAGTCAGTTTTAGGGGGGAATGTGGCATGTTAGAAGCATGGCAAAGGTCTTGCTACCTTGATGTACTGAGCTCTGCAGGTGAGGGCCTCTTGCAAATACCATCTTATCAGGAGGTCCATTCTGCACAATATAGGAACCAAGCATATAGTATTTTAACAATCTACCCTTCGGAATTCCCTTCCTTGAATATTAGGTGACATCTCTGCTGTCTTTTTGGTGCCTACTATAGACATTCCCATATCATTCTCAAGTTTGCATGTGTACGGGAATTGCTTTTAAGTTGTTTTTATTGTATGGACACTTCTTGTTTGCTGCCCTGGGCTCCTTTGGAAGGAGGGGTAGGATATCAATGTAATTAATTGATTGAGTAATAATGTCTTCCAACTAGGAATGGACTGGTAATATTGTGAGGTTATCTTCATAAGTAAATAGGTAAGAAAACTTATTTTTCAGGCAGGATTATCCTTCCAGTATCTTCATATAATTGAGGATACAGGGTAAAAAGGAAATTCTTCCAGTGGTAGCAGGGGCTGCTAATATCAGCAATAGACCTCTTATTGCCACTGGGTGTCATACAGCTTGCGTAACATTTTGGAACTGGGAGGCTCTTGTTTGAAAATGTTGGAATTACTACTGCATATTTTCTGTCATTAAAACACCTATTTCCATGTCTGCAGTATGCAATCACACTCACACACGAACTCTTCAGTCTATTAGCCGGCTATAGCATCACTATGTTCATTTCATGGAGTTCAACAGAGTGTAATTTTGTCACACTTTAGAACTTAAAACAAGTTATGAATGTAGTTTATCTCTTTGGAAAAGACAGGATACAATAAAACACTGGCATTGAAATAAAAGGAGCATCTCCGACAAACAACGTTAAAAATAATTTAAAATGGTTTAAAATGATAAAGTAAAGTTTAAAATGATAAAGTACCATCCTTTACCCCTAAAGGATAAATATCTATATCAAACCAGTCCAGCTGAAATTAAAATATATCTATTAAGCTGAATATATTAAAAGTAAAATAAATGCAAATAATTCATCCAAACACATACACATGAAAAATATGCTTGGCTATAAGATAGAGATTGATGCATGCCCTGAAGCATTTATATTGTTGTTGTTTTTTGCAAACAGGAGTATGAATAAATAAGCTTATGAACACTGGAGAAAAAATTCTAAATGCATGGTATATGTGCACCTTTCCCCTTCTTCTAGATTGTTTCCAAATTGGCAATACAATCCAAATGTACATCAAATAAACAAGAAGAAAACAAACAAACTTTCAATAACATAACATACTTGACTAAACTGTAACCTGAAGGGCTATTTCCTTCCAATGCAGTTCTGGAAACAGTGACCAAATTATCTGAAGAGGTTGAAGACGTCCTTTAGTTTTGCAAAGTTCATTGCCACTCACTGATTTTTCTTCTAGAGACTTATCTTTGTCCATGAGAAAGAGAAAAAGAAGCCTTCCCCCATCACATGGCCAGTCCAAATGCTGTTAAAGTTGATAATCTTGCAATGACTAACAGAAAACAACCCTTAGTCCACAGAAGCACTAACCCATTTTTTGAAACCCTAGTGTTATACTGTCAACATTAAGAGACAAAACCTGACTGTGCTGCCTAACTCAATTATTAAACTTCTCATGCAACAGGAAGGCAAGAAAAAAAGTGCAATGGATGTAAGTTAGCTTTGTGAGTCTCTACTGGGTTCAAGAACAATAGACAATTGCCCCTCCGGGGTTTCACAAAGAGGTTGCTAAGCTAGTTAAACTAGGGACAGGGCTATTCTCAGTTCTGCTTTGTCCATGGGGAAAAGACACAATACTTTCTCTCAACTGCATAAACAAGGAGTCCAGTTTCAATGGCACTAATAGAAGCTAGCTTGCCACTAGTCCTCCATTCATTCATTTATTTGTCAGGAGCTTACAAAAATCAACCTTAAAAGTGGAAGAAGAAAACTCAGCAGTTATGTAACAGACCAAGTTAAAAGTGCTAGTATTTAAGGACATTTCATTCAACGTGGAATAAGTGCCACAGAGAACATATGCACAAATATAAACAAATACACACATATATTCCACAGTAACTAACAGGTTTGCCACCAAGGCAGTATTTAACAGAATACTGCAGCCATCCTAATGGTCTGACTAGTGTCTTCTTTCCATGCACATTAAAACACCTTTTCGTTGCGTTCAAACTTAATGTATTTAGATGTATACAGTTTTAAAATCTTTAAAATCTCAGGTGCACATACAAAATGTGTACTAGACAAGTCAATCAAATCTGAGAACACTGAAACCCTGCTGATTTCAGTGGGGCAGGCAAGCACATGCTGAAATCTCTCCACTGATATCAATCGGATTTTGGCCAACAATCTATGAGGCTAGACTTTGTCCAATCAGTTAATATACATTTTAGAAATAAACAAAAGCATGAGTGAACTCCATTTCTGTTATTCCAACTGCTGCTTACCCCTCCCCTCAACAGAGTTAGCTTCTCCTGCCTAATAGGCAGATCCTTTCTTGTTTATAGACATTTCCATCTTATCCTTCCAGTTCCTATTCACTTACAACCATTTAAAAACACTAATATAACCACAACCCTCTTTTCCTGCACCAGCAACGTTTGCTACGGCACTACATTGCATTGAAAAAACGAAACACTGAATGAACTTTGACTTCCCCACATGTCACAATGACAGGGCTTTCCATCCCCAACCCCCCTTTGGGTAGTTGGTGCCTATTTATCACCACCTTTCCTGACATACATGTTGGAACAGGAAAGGAAACAGAACCTCATGAGTGTAGCTTAAGGAGGTTCAAATCAGAGAGAGAGAGAGAGAGAGAGAGAGAGAGAAGCCATCTTTTTAGTTTACATTATTTTAAGTGAAACACTTGTGCCTCTTTTGGCAGATCTATGCAGACAGAGCACATGAATAAGAAAAGTGGCTTTCCAAATGTGTGCATGTTTATGGTCTAATCTTTCTGCTTGTCCGAAAACAGCAGCAGCCACCATTCTTCACTATCAGGACATATTTTGTACCCAAATATTTGATTAAAAATAACAGTGTGAATAGCTATGAATAATGTGCTGTTCTACTTCCTGCAACAATAACACCCCCCTCTCCAAGATACATTGTGTGTATTTGTGTGTAAGTATCTTAGATTTTGCAATTAGCAAAACTATTGGGAAAACAGAGCAAATTGACTTCTCATACCCAATAAAGCTCTCCTTCTTAAGGTTGTCATAAATGAAGAAGCTATTGATTTGGGGTTAGGGCCAGTGTGCCAGAGGAATTGTAAGAAGTTCCCCATTTGCTCTGCTGAATTATTGCTCCACAGAAGCACAGCTTTTGAGGGGGAAGTTTACTTAACTTTGGCAGGCAGGTTACGACAAAGTCTTTGACCCTCTAGCACAACAACAAGTTGCAACATGTATTGGAGATATAAACAGAGATTTGAATGATTGGTTATCCAAAATGTATTCCACTGGGATATTTATTGAACTCATCTGTGGAATCCTCATACAATCATGAATACAAACCACCAGTAGATAAAACTAGATTATGGACATATTTAATGATTGCTACCTGGTTATCAAGGGACATGGGTGGCGCTGTGGGTTAAACCACAGAGCCTAGGACTTGCCGATCAGAAGGCCGGCGGTTCGAATCCCCGCGACGGGGTGAGCTCCCGTTGCTCAGTCCCTGCTCCTGCCAACCTAGCAGTTCGAAAGCACGTCAGAGTGCAAGTAGATAAATAGGTACCGCTCCGGCGGGAAGGTAAACAGCGTTTCCGTGCGCTGCTCTGGTTCACCAGAAGTGGCTTAGTCATGCTGGCCACAAGACCCGGAAGCTGTACGCCAGCTCCCTCGGCCAATAAAGTGAGATGAGCACCGCAACCCCAGAGTCGGTCACGACTGGACCTAATGGTCAGGGGTCCCTTTACCTTTACCTGGTTATCTAGTCTAGTTAGTGATTTTATTTTTTAAATCTCACTATTCTAGTGCAAAAACACCAATATTTTTTTATAACACATAACATTATCATTTCATAAAACAACTGCAAGAAAGAAGTAGTCATTAAGCACTGTGATGCTTAGATGCTTCTGTTCCAGAACTTCTTCACTATCAATCAAAAACCACCTTAGAGAACCAGTGTGATATAATGAACAAAATACGCCAGTTTTTCAGTCAGCCTCAGTAACTGTGTCTTTAACAGCAGCAGCATGCAAGAATAGGTGCCTTCTTTTAACCAAATGTAGAAAAAGATTATCACTTGTGAATGGTTACATAGGAAGCTGCAGTTAAAATAATGTCTACAGAGGCCTGGTTCCCACAGTCATGCTAAGCCAATTCACTTTGTTCCTTTCCAGTCATTTTGCTGCTACACTGAGCACAGGGTCATGGCTTAGCTCTTCCAGACAAAGCCCAAACTGTAAACTCTACAGGACAAATCTCGGGTTACAGTTTGTGGTCAGACTCTGGAGAGAACTGAACCATGAGCCAGGGTTCAGAGAGCACATTAAGCCAAACCATGGCTTACTTCAGCACAGTACAGCAGCAATAACAGCAGAGGTGCAAAGTGGCTGCAATCTCCTCTTCCAGAGCCCATGTGCTCATTTAGGCTAAGCCATGGTTTGCCTTAGCATAAAGTGCAAATTAGGCCAATGTAGATTGAAATGTTGATAGCTTTAGGACTGGACTGGAGAAGTATGGATTAAAAT